CAATCGCTTTCCTTTGGACGTGTATTCCTTTCGTTAATTCCTTCTGTAATGCGTTTTCGGCATCCTCTTTTTTTTCTGAATCTGACAGCTTGAAACAATCTGGTTCTTTCTTGCAAGGTATCTTGAACTCGTAGGAGCAAATTTGCGTTTCTTCTGGAATCATACAACTATCTTGGATAATTTTTGACCTATGGTTGATTTCGCTTGTGGTGATATGAACACTGACGTCTGCAAATCCATCGGGACAGAATGCTTCGAAAATTGTTGTTTCTCTGAAAGCGTCAAGATTGTGTAGTTTTTCGCATCTGTTCTTTCCTTCTTTGTTAAGGAAGTTCACCCATAATGCAGAAATCTTTCCCGGCCACGTATTTTCAATACTAAATTGAACCCAATTTGCTTTCATGTTTGCTTTCTTCAAAACGATAGGAGTTTTCTGGTACATGCAAGTTTCTTCTTCATCTATATCTGAGAAAGTGACAGTTGGTACATCCAGGCAATCCGGAGTCTCTGTCTTGCACATTGGTGTACAAGAAAGTTGCACGAAGTAAGCTACATAGTTATCATTTGGTACGCTGCAAGCATTGTTTTCTTTTATGGCAAAGGTCTCCGTAGGCCCGACGTAAGCATAGACAACAATTTGAGTAAATCCCTTGTGACATTTGGCTGTATACCTCTTTTTCGTCTTGTACGGGATCATACGATTGTATTGACTTCTTTCCGTCACACAAATGTCTTCTTCCTCGTCTTTTTTGAAATAGACGGCAAACATCTGAATACCTTTTCTGTTCCAGAGCTGAGATACTGTGAAATCAACCTCATCTATCTTTTTATCTGCAATGGAAACAATACCATTGTGGAATGGATATTCTTTCTTGCCAATAATCCTCTGTAGAGTCGGATTCAAGAGCTGAGCGCAGTTGACTACTCCCTGGGTCACGAGTGCTTTAGTAGTTGAGCAAATTTCCCCGAGGGTACATGGAACAACAAAAGAAAAGGAACACGTCCCCAGTTTTTCACGTCTTGTGTTTGTGCACTCTTTTGGAACAGAAGTAGCAAAGTGTCCAATACCTTCTGAATGAATCAGGACAGTCACGTTCGCAACCCCTCGGTCACAAAAGGCCTCAATAGGAGCACTAGTAGAGAATCCTTCCATATTCTCGAGGAAAGTGCATTCGGGCTCTCCGTCAACATTCTTTGAATACACGGATAGGGCCGCAAAGTCTTCGGGCCAGGTGTTGGAAATGCGAAATTCCACAGAGTCAGTCTTCATACCTGTTGCTTCAGTAATGATAGGACTTTCCTCGTAAATGCATTTCTGTTCCTGACCAACGTCTGCAAGATAAACCGTTGGTTTGCTGATACATTCGATACCCTCTTTTGCACAAACTGGAACACAAGGAAGGGACACGAGGTAACCAATATAATTGTTGTTGGGAACAGAACAGGCTTCACACTCGTTTACACTAAAATCTTCCATGGGTCCGATGTAGGCGTAAACACCAACATCAGCATACCCGTGACGGCATTGAGCTTTAATTTCCTTCCCGGTGTTGAAAGTGATCAACGAGCCGTCGTCCAAGGCCTCCATAGAACACATGTCATGACCATCCAAAGATCGGTAACTAACTGCCATCATGGGGACGCCATCTTCAATCAATACTTGCGAGACAGTAAAGTCTACTTCGTCGATTTGCTGGCTGGTAATGGCCACGGTGGCTACGTCGAACGGAAAGTCTGATTCATTTCCAAGGACTTCCTGCAAAATGGGATTGGATGCTTTGCCACATTCTGATCCCATATCTGCTTTCTTGGAATTATCTACTTCCTTGGGATTAAACCTTACTAAATCTCGTAAGACGCGGTTCCCTCGTGCAAACCTCGCCTCGGGAAGGGAACACGTCGCTGCGAGAAGACTCAATCCGACGAAGCGCATCTTGATCTATGAAATCCAATCGACTTCGTTTGAAAAAGACACCTCGGTCTGATTCCTCTGTGTATACGTAAAATTCTTTTACCAGTAACAATTAGGTACTTCAGAACTTTTTGTTGTATCTTCTTTCATAAAAGTTGCCTGTGTGGCTATCGATAAGAAGATATGTCGCTCTACACTGTTAAACTGGTCGCAGCTGAAAAGATTTGAGCGAGGAAATTTGGTGCCCAACGCACTGCAGGAATACGTGTTGGTTCTTCACTCGTTTGGACACCTGTACGATACGACTACGTACGATACTGTACCGATACAACGGGCAATTTCGAAGCACTGTATCATCTGTCTGCGATATTTTTCCCGCCAAGAAGTTCAGTTAGGCTTTTACCTCCTCTACTAGAGTTTGTACTTTACTCGTAGAAGCATTACCGGGCTTCTCAAAAGAACCACCACGATGCTTCGCCTCGAGCTCCAAAATGACTATCGTAAAACGAAGTAAGTAGGTTTATTACTAAAATTACGTTCATTGGACATAATTCTTTTTTTCCTGTGGCAATTTAAATTAATGACCATAAATTCCATTCTTACCGTAGAAGTTGTTCTTCATACAGTATGGTACGTACCGGTACGTACTGTGTTGTGAAGGTACTTCAGTTGTTGATTGTTTTTGTCGATGGTCATTAACGGGGGTCATAACAGTGGTTCGCATCGCACTGAAACTCATATTCCATGTGTGGTCGAAAATAGAAAAATGGGTGATTCCCTTAAATAGATGTGCTAAACTGGTAAATCTAGCACCCTTATTACATACAGGAGAGGGACCGACGGAAGGGACCATTTTTTTAATATTTTCGCGCGATCTGCGCACTTTAAAGGTATTTATGTAAAAATAACGGTTTATTTTCTAATCTAGTGTTCTTCAATTAGGGGGTTATTCAAATTACTGTTTTCGGGGAACACGACCATTAATTAAATTATTGTCACATGAAAAACAATTAAATTTAATTAACAAATCAATTAAATTTAATTAATCGCTTAATTAAATTTAATTAACTGCTTAATTAAAAATTTTAATCAATGATTTAATTTGCAACGGACGTACGTACCGATGAATCGTTACGTACGATACGAAGCTCTGAAGAAAGGAATGAAGGATCATACCATTCCTACGTACCTATCATAA